ACGAGACGAAGATTCGCCACGGGGTAAGTGCCAGTTTACCTGTCCAGTCCAGAAACTGTATTCCAACGAGCGAGCGACGGCTAAGACCTATGCACGGCCAACTATTTTAAGCACGCGTAATCGGCACGCGTTGCGACTGGTACGAAAAACATGTTCTCTACGTCGAATACAGTGGTCCTTCGAGCTCTGTCTCGTAAGCGTGCAGCAGCAACAGAAGCAGCAACGTGATGTGACGTGCGAATGAAGGAGGAGCGTAGTCGGTTTCCCACGATTTTAACCGATCTTCCGTGTTTTCCACTCCGTTGAAACGATCCACTCTTGCTCGCACTGGCCGATGGCACTTTCTCTGGCAGGCACAACAACACCGAGAGAGTTTTATTCGTCCGCGTCTGTCCAACCGGTTTGTAAAATTCCGATCTTAGAATCGATGCGTCGCGATGCGGGACCGAAGGTCGCAGCGGCGGAGGTACCACCGTGGCCGAACCGTCGAACGCGATTCGACTGGGAACGGACCGAGACGAGAGGAAGAGGCCGCGTCGAAGAGGAAGAAAGCCAGGTATCCTGCGTGAAGAGCGATCGGATCGACGAGCGGATCTACGACGACGGCTACGATGGATCGAAGAGCGACTCTCATTGGACTGAATTAAGGAAGGACGCGTGGACCGAGAGAAACAGCGAAGCGGAAAGGGAAAGAGGTGTAGGAGGAGGACGAGGAGGAGGAGGAAAAGGAGGTGTTGGCGATGGTAGCCAAGCGAGTTGTGTGGTAGTGGTGGTGGTGGTGCTGCAGCCGCTGCCGCCGCTGTTAACCGTAAGTCGTTGCCGAACACGCTGGTGGTGGTGGTTGCTGATAGCGATGGTGGTGGAAAAGGAGAAGAGAGCGAGTTCGCTCCCGCAGTCTGCTAGACTCCCGACTGACTACCAACCGACCGAGACTGGTTTTCGATTTTTTCCCGACTTTTTGTTTTACCTGTTCCACTGCTTCTCTACCTTTCCCTCTCCTCCTCTTCCCCCTCCCCTCCTCCTCCTCCTCCTCCTTCTCGTTTCCTTTATCTTTCTCCAGATCTCTTGCTTCTTACTCATCCTCCCTCCTCTCCCTCGTTCTTCCCTCCTTCGAGGGATGCGATCTCATCCCTTACCGCGACACAGTCATCACTCGAGCCGAAAGGTGGAAAGCACGCTCGTTGTTTGTCACTGTCTGACTGACTAGCAGCCGCGATATCGTAACCATCTCGGAGAGGGGGGGAGGCGAGGGGGAAGAGCCGTTCAAGTGTGGAGAACACGAACGAATCACCCATTCGGGACCTTTTTTTCTTTTTGTTTTCGTACCTCTGCAGAACGGAAGTTTTTCAATTTCACCGAGGAAAAAGGAACGGTTCCTTCCTTGCCTCAGATCCATCAGAAGATACGCCAAGATACGCTCGTTTACAACTCGACTTGCTAATTTACCCCGTGTAATTTGCCCACTTTTTTTTTCTTTTTTCTTTTTAAATCACCCGGCGCGCTGGAAAAGTACCAATGGAAACGTCATAGTTCCATCAACTATTTTTCCCTCGATTTTTCTTCCTTTCCGCAGAGACGCTGTCCCTTCACCGGGAGGTAAGAGGATACTTCCGAATGTGAATAATCGAACGGCAGAAGAAGAAGAGATCGGATTCGTGGAAGGACTCGCATCGTTACCCGCGTGGTCGTCTTTGGGAACACTCGTTGCCACGACGAGAGATACGAGGTCCGCCGTCGTGCAACCTCTCATTTCCCTCCTACTGCAATCAACGGCATTTAAGCTTGCGTTTCGACCGTTTAAGCATTTAGCTGCTTCCGTCATATATCTCAACATGTGCCGACAATTTTTTCGCACACTATTTCGTCCGACAACCTGCCTCTCCGAGCAAAGCAGCAGCACGCTCTCGTCACTATCCACGTGGATCTCACGCTGCTGAATAACGAATAACGGCAGATACACATATATACATATATATAAACTGTATAAATATACGCATACATCTTGCACTTTGTAGAGTATGCGTACTTTTTTAGGCAAGGAGATTTTTCCTCGAGGAAAATGCCGTGCCTTTAAATAAAGTCGCGCACTTTAATAAGGGGGAGAGACATCAACGCCCACGTAGAACAGGCGCGTTCGAAGGAGCACGAGTCAACGAGTTGAAATTCCGCCGTGTGCTTTCGCCACGGAATAATCGTGAAAGAAAAAAAAAAAAAAAAAAAAAAAAAAAAAAAGAAGAGAAAATGAAGGTATAAACTAGCAACGCGGAATGTTCGCGTGACTCTCCGGTCATATTGTTTCTCAAGCCGGAGAAGAAGGCAGATAAAGGGGCACGAAAGTGAGAGAAGAGCAAGGAGGACGCGTCAGGTATACGAAGGTCGTTAGCTCGAAGAAAAATTAGCCGTTTGTCCGAGTTCCGTCGGAAGATGGGTCAATCAGATACGAAAACACTTGTCGGCCTAGGCATTGTTCCAACCTAACAGGCCCGCAGAGGGCCGCGGACACAGGTATAGCTCTGTCCTAATGACCGTTCGAGGAATCCAAAAGTTCACGATTCCTCGAATGTTCGACAGGGTGGTCGCGATCGTTCACGAGCTCTCCTGTTGCCATTTTCTTCTTGAGAATTGCGTATCATTGCGCATTTCTCGAAATATTGTTTTTTTTTTTTTT